ATTCCCAGATCGATTGACGGGATTAAGAATGATAAATATTTCTTTCTTGTTTGTTTCCAAGTGGTTGTGATAGAAGAAGCCGATTCATCAATCTTGGGTATATTAAACGATGCGGTTCCAGAGGCAGAACGGAATTTCGCTAACGATATGATTACGGTTCACATTTCTACCGTTACAGTAAATCGCGAGAATGTTGACGCGAGTTTCGAGAAAGGTATTTTTTATGTATTTTATATAAGCTAAGATGTCAAACAAGATTTACTTTTAATATATGTTATTGTTTTTTATATTACATGTAAATTACACAAGAGCTATGTGTTTTTTTACGTGTACATATATATTTATCTTTGAAAAGTGAAAATTTCTTCCCCAATGATACAAATTATACAACTCGCGCAAAGATATCATTTTTTATTTCTCTCAACAGTTTGTGCCGTTTTATATAAAGGAATAAGTATCATATTGGATATGACATGGACTGGCTGGGACAAACTACGAATAGTCGCGGACGAAAGAGGAATAATATACAAACGTGGCGACTGCAGCATTAATCCATATGTTCAAGCGATCGATGATCTTTTAATTATGAAAAATGCAACGGACGTTGGTCTGATCTTTGAAGATGAGAGAGGTGCATAAAAATGATCCTCCTCTCTGATGTGTTGATATTACATGTATAGATATACCTTTGATTGCAAACTTTGAATATCTTGCGCGCAATTTTTTTTATTATAATCTACATTCATGTGCATACGCAGACTACTTTTCTTTATCGATAAATTATCAAAATAAGAAGGATATATGTATATTGTATAATGTAGAGAGAGAAAGAGAGAGTATAATACAGCTCTTGCAAAATATATAATGTGTCTTTCGATAGTAAATATATCAGATATAAATATATTATATATTATAATAATTTCAGAGCTAAATCAGAGCCTTTATTATCTTATTGGAAATTCGATAATTAGATTGGTCGTCATCGACGAATTGACGGAAAGAACAGTGTCGAAAATACGGAGTATGCGGCCGTCGCCATCTTATTATGTTATTTATGCTAGCACATCGAAAATGGAAGAACTATTTAAAACGGTAAACGGTATATCTAAATATCAGTTTTGATTTAAAAATAGTTTATTTTTATTATTTTAATACACACATATGTTATAAAAAGGTAGAAAATATCTCTTCAAACTTTTAAATAATATAATCTATAAGCTTATGTGTGTGAACAATCTTTTAGGCTATTGGGGGAGGGCTCGTTAAAAGAGATGGTATTTGGAATTTAGTGTTTACAGACAATAATTATCACGACTTTCACATTACCGGTGATCTTCAATTGAATATTTCATTCACCGTTCTTACTATGAGGACCGACATTTGTTGCCGCTTAATGGGCGAAGCATCTTGCAATTGCCCCACAAATTTTAAGGTAAGTTTCTCAACGAAACAATACTTTGAAATTAGTGGTTTCTATCTTTGAAAAGTGATGTAAATCTATGCTATTGAAAAAATTTACCCATGTTCACCAAATGTGAAAGCCATCGATTAATATAGCATTGCTGGTCAACATTAGAGAGAATCCTCTCTTGTTTCTTTTTCTTTTGTGGAAAAGAAAAAAAAATAAATTTTTTCTCAATAAATATCTGTTATCTATAAAGAAGAGGAAATATATTAAAAAGTCATATATATTATATACTAGATATTCCCTTATTATTTCAAACGTTTGATTGGCTTAATCGTAAGCTTGATGAGTGACGTCCAAAAGGCGGGTGTAAGTGTGAAGCCAAAGACAGGTCAGTGCGATAAGTCCATTGAGCCTACCTCAATTTCGAATATTACAGCGGAAACCTTTAATAAGATTTTAATGACGGTGAGTATTGCCAAAGTCAATTTTAACAATCAAGAGTCGATAAGTTTGTCAATCTATTGATCGTAAAATATTTCGGAAAAGAAAGAAAACTCAAAAGGCGCATTTTATATGTAAATTTATGTATATGTATATTTAAACATTTTTTCTACTTATCTACTCTTCTACGTTCTAGAGATTGGACAGTAATGACACTTTTGAATACTGGTCAGAGAAGGCAATGATTACTTACAAAGCAGAGATCGAGCTACAAACGGTTAGTCGCGGCTCTGTGGATGCGCTCGCGATTTGGACGAGACGTACAAAAATTAAAGAAGCAGACGGGAAGAAAATAGAACCAGCCAGGCGATTCTTCCGGATTGGAACGGCGCCGGTAAGAAGGGCACCGCGTTTCACTACGTCCGCGTGAACGTTTCGTTACGTATCATTAAACGATGAGGAACAACATTATTTCCAAATAAAGAGTCATAATTATCTTTAGTACTTTGAAACATCTATGGAAAAGGCAATGAAATTGAATTAATAAATTGTCGATTCATAATTATTTTTAGTACTTTGAAACATCTATGGAAAAAGCAATGAAATCGAATTAATAAATTGTCGATTCATTAAAATTAATTAATTAAATTTATTAGCAAAATAAAGTTAACGACGATCTTTCAGTCGCATTGAATTAACATTTTATTTATATGCAGAATGTGTGTGTGTGTGTGTGTGTGTGTGTTATGTGTTTACTCCATTTTCAAATTGTTTGATTTGGTGGTGCTTTGCCATTAACTATAATATCGCAAGTCAAACACAAATCTACCAAATTTTGACTTAAATTTGCGCGTGGTTAAATAGGCAGTTCCTTGGTCGGTTATTAAGAGAGATCCAGTGACGGGCCAAGAAATGCGCAACGAAGAAGGAAGGGAAATCTGGGAAGGTTACTGTATTGACTTCGTGCAAAAATTATCTGAAGAGATGCAGTTCGATTATGATCTTGTTATTCCTGAAGATGGAGAATTTGGCAAGAAATTGCCCAATGGCGAATGGAGCGGTGTAATAGGCGATCTGGCTAAAGGAGTAAGTTTTATTTTTAAAATAAGATTTGGCTATATTCAATGTTAAAATGAGATTTGGCTATATTCGACTAAGTTGAATGTTTCTTTTTCTTTTTTTCGTTTAATTTCAACATTTCTTTTGCATTGTCATCTGTAATTGAATAGACCGGTAATCGATTTTGAATAATAAGTTTTCTTCGTCAACATTGTTGCGCAGTGATTATTTAATTTATATTTTGTTTCATTACGTTATCAGACATACATTTCGCTACAAGTACGATACGAATATAGGCCAATCTTTGTTGCAGTTGCTATTATATATATTTCATTATTTTCATTATCGGTATTCATGGAGATGACACTCGCACAAATTTGATTTCACGAAGAAGATTTTGAAAATTAAAATATCTCGATGATATACCTATATATTTTTCGCGTGACTGTAGCGAATGGATGTATATTTTCACGCTTTGTTAATACTTGTGTAGGAGACTGATATTGCTGTGGCGGCGTTGACAATGACATCGGAACGGGAAGAGGTCATTGATTTTGTCGCGCCGTATTTCGAACAGTCCGGTATACTCATTGGTACGCGCAATTTATATCTTTTTCTCACAATATACATATATGTATATTCTCTCTTTTTGTCCGACTTTTTCTTTTCTCTCTTATGTAGTATGCCCAATCTATCTGACACGAGTTGCAAGCTTTAGCTCGAGATGCTCACAATTCAATATCGAATATATTATATGATATATATTCAGATGATTTATACTAATTTTTGTTTTCAAAGTAATGAGGAAGCCAGTTCGTAAAACATCCTTATTCAAGTTTATGACGGTATTGAGACTCGAAGTCTGGCTAAGCATCGTGGGAGCTTTAACTTCAACCGGTATTATGATTTGGATACTGGATAAATATTCGCCATATAGTGCGAGAAACAACAAACGACTCTACCCCTATCCTTGTCGGTACGCACACACATACATCTCGAGTGTACAGTAGTAATATACCATTATATTGCATTATCGCTTTTTGTTGTGACGTATCGCAAATACAATATCAATAATTATTTCGTGCATTTATTTGTTAGTTTATCTCTTGTCGTATTGTGCTGGCAATGTGATTTTCAATCTTTTCGAGAAATTTTCTCATTTCCTTGACATATTATAACCAATGGTGTATAACAACTGTTTTTCAGAGAATTTACATTGAAAGAAAGCTTTTGGTTCGCATTGACGTCTTTCACACCACAGGGTGGTGGCGAAGCCCCAAAGGCGTTATCAAGCAGAACACTGGTTGCAGCCTATTGGTTATTCGTTGTATTGATGCTCGCGACTTTTACTGCAAATTTGGCTGCTTTTCTTACCGTAGAAAGAATGCAGGTATCTATATATTTATGTCCCTGTTTTCTAATTACAAAAGTTACATTCATTCGAGATTACCTTGTTGTTTTACTTAATTTTGAGATGAGTACAAAACATTGCTACAAAATCGCCATATGCCGACCGCAAAATATGCCATTTCTCGTAAATTAATATTCGCATGTATTTCATTACATAGTCGCCTGTACAATCGTTGGAACAATTGGCTAGACAATCACGCATAAATTATACCGTTTTGGCCAATTCTAGTGCCCATCAATATTTTATAAATATGAAAAATGCCGAAGACAAGCTTTACACGTGTGTACAAATATTTCTCTTATCAATTTGCATGCTATTAAGATCACCAGTAACATTACGTACACATATTTCATATCATTTACTTGTAGGGTATGGAAAGAAATTACGCTAAATAGTACCAGCGATCAGGTAGAATATCGTGTCTGGGACTATCCAATAAAAGAACAGTATGGTCACATTCTGCAAGCCATTACTCAAGTCGGTCCGGTAAAGACAACCGAGGAAGGTTTCAAGAAGGTAGAAGAAAAGAAAGCAAAAAGATAAAAAAGATAGAACAAAAGGAAAAAGGGAGAATTTTCTATATAAACTTTCTCGTTTTTCCTTTAATCCTGAATCGTGAGCGAATACTTGATGCGAATGTAACAATCGATATTTCTTTAGGTGATAGAGAGTGAAAATGCAGAGTTTGCCTTTATTCATGATTCGTCCGAGATAAAGTATGAAGTGACGAAGAATTGTAATCTGACGGAGGTGGGCGAGGTATTCGCCGAGCAACCATATGCCATTGCCGTGCAGCAGGGTAGTCATTTGCAAGAAGAAATAAGTAGAAAGTTTGTGATCGATTCTTTCTATTTCTATTAATCGCACTTGCATCCATTCTTTTGTTCCTAAATTATCCTAGTTCATTATTAGCAATATGATTATTGTTATTATTGAAAGAAATGCTTAAAATTTGCGCAATTGTAAAACAGCGGCGTTGCATCAAAAACATTTTTGCGTGTATTCTTGCATATAATGACTGAGAGAAAATGCATTTGTCGTCTAATCTAATTTTTAGAAGAAATGACAGTCGTATAAACGACGCGTATATAAATGTATTATAATATTGTCATCATCGTAGCGATCGCATCGCTACGACATACATGTGACAAATGTTGTATGTAATAATAATATTCTTTGTAGGATTCTCGATTTACAGAAAGACAGGTACTTTGAGATGCTGGCGGCTAAGTATTGGAATCAGACGTTGAAAACCCAATGTCCGAATTCCGACGAGAACGAGGGAATCACGTTAGAGAGTTTGGGTTAGTAATCTGCCATTTCCTTAACTTTATTAAAAATAATTTATTATAAAGATTTGACACATAAATATATATTATTGACATTTTTTCGCATGCATATATGTACATACATTGTTATATATTGTATATATAGTACAGCAAAATAAAAAAGAAAAAAATTATTGTTTTATTTGCAACTATAAATTGAGTTTTGCATTAAATTTATACTACAATTGATGTCTGTTTTATCCGAAACAATGTGTGTGGACAAGAGAAGAGAAAGTTCACTTTAATGAAAGAAATTATAAATATATATATATATATATTATTGTACATATTGTCTCAAAGAGATATTGAATGCAATAAGAATGTAATGTAAAACTCATTTTAATTGTGTAAACAAAATAATCATTTTTGTTTTTTATTACTACTATACAGCAATGTATAACGCGTATGTTTGTCATCATTACAATATCACATGTATTATGTACAGCTATAGGAAATCAAGAAATGTTATTGCACAGATACACACTCAACACACACGCATATATATATATATAGGGGAAAGAAAGGTAAAAGCGGTATATATATATATATATATAAAATACAATATACATAACGTGTTATAAAAGAAAAAAGGGGTGAGATAAAAATAAAGAAAAGTTATTATTCGAGACAATTATAATAATATTCGATTTCGATTAAACATCACTTCAATTGTCGCTTATACCTCTTTTATAGTTGATGCTTTTATAGTTGATAATTTTATATCCAGTTCTTTCTATGCAGGAGGTGTATTCATTGCAACTTTGTTTGGTCTCGCTTTAGCGATGATTACTTTGGCCGGCGAGGTGCTTTATTATCGCAAGCGCAATATTTCTCAGAAAGGAAAACAACAAAATGATAAAAAAATGATAAAAAAAAATACCGAAAACGACAAGATTATCATGCAGAAAATCGCATCAAAGCTACAAATGAAGGCGGCGCCGACCGATGCAGTTTTCGGCAAACAACCAAATCACACGCCGCGTGTTTCTCACATTTCTGTTTACCCACGACATTTTCCTTTTAAAGAATAAGCCACACTTTTCGATGATAATTTATCGTATCGCAAAGCCATAAATCTATTTATTTCACGAATCAGTCTTTATGCGTTTCTCTCTCAGAGACAACTTTTCTCTTTTAAATAAAACTAACTAAGAAACACATTTTTAATAAATTTATCACAACGATTAAGCTAATAAGTAGTATTCAAAATTTTTAATTTATCAAGAAATTATCATTATATATTTACATATGTGTATATTGACCTCAAAAGTTATCACACGCATTCAAACAACATTCAACATTGTTCCGGTGCAAAATCATTATTAAATAATAAATTATTGCACGGCAAAATATAAAGCTTAAGTGACTAATTATATATATTATAAAGTATAAAGTGTGAAAAATTTTTTTTTATTTATTTGAAATTTTGAAACACTATAAGAATCTTGAGTTTATATCATCGATAACTATATGTATACAACATGTTTTGTTATATTTATATTAATTGATTATCGTATCGTTAATTAATTAATTAATTAATTCTTGTTCAAGGGACTATGTTTTTTAAATCTACATATAATTATATATAATGTACATTTTGTTTTATAAAGATGTACAATACGCTTCTTTTTAAAAAATTTATGCATTATTACAAGCGTATCAACGCATCACATAAACGTATATACTGTAGATATATTTTTCAACAAACTATTACGCCAAAGCGAAAATACACTATATGACGCGCGGTCATTGATCCTTGAGTACTTTCACATTGTATAGCTTGGCTTCCCGAGCGTAAATAGGGTAGAAACAATATCATCTTTGATATTCTTATACTATCCGTTACTTATCCGTTTTTAAATATCGCGTGTGTCATTTGTGTGACACAAGAATACAATTATCGTTGTACAAGAATACAATTACCGCTGATGTGCATGATAAATTTGCAATTTGTTAATTTCTTTCGCGTGTGTAATTAACTATTAGTTGGTCCCTTTAAATGAGTAATTAATTAATTGATAATAGTTACGAAAGTGCTGTGTTGACAACGCATTCACGGAAAGCGTGAATTGTAATATAATTTTTTCACATCACAATATTAATGTATCTTGCATTTAACGTATCTTTAGAAATTATTATACAATGTAAAATGTGCCTCTTAAAGAAAACGATTGCGTTCAGATTGTGTAAAAAAAATCTTTCTTTTTTTATTAGAAATTTTTCTTATTTGTCTTATCAATGTAATATTGTACATGCCTTATAATCTTATTATTTTCACTGGTTTTCTCATCGAATTATAACTCGGCGGCACGATCGTTCGCCGAGTCGAATTATGTAAGCAAAAGCAAAAGTAGTTTAGGTAATCCTTCGATTGTTTCGATCACTCTGATTGGAGCGCGTCACGGTTGATGATTCTTTGAATTTTTCTGACAAAAGAACAGACATTTATGCTTTGGTAGGGAATATTTATCGTTTACCACAAGTCAATATATAAAGCATTTTACACGAAGGCGCGATCACATTCGATGAGAAAGTGATGCTGATTGTGGATATTCTAACAAAATTATAAGTTTATTCGCGCAAACCTCGAGCCGGAAAAACCGATGATCTTCAAAAATGACTTATTGCAAGGTCAGTGAAGTGAAATTTAACGACATTTAGAAATTATATAGTTGATTATATAAATGTCGCACTTGCGTTCCGTGTATTGACATTTTTTCGCATGCATATATGTACATACATTGTTATATATTGTATATATAGTACAGCAAAATAAAAAAGAAAAAAATTATTGTTTTATTTGCAACTATAAATTGAGTTTTGCATTAAATTTATACTACAATTGATGTCTGTTTTATCCGAAACAATGTGTGTGGACAAGAGAAGAGAAAGTTCACTTTAATGAAAGAAATTATAAATATATATATATATATATTATCTTTTGCTGACCGTTAGTAGTTTTTAGTGGATCTTAAACTATGAGAAAATGAGGCTAGTTGCTGAAAAAAAAAATTTAGTTACCAAGGATAACAAGATTTTTTGGAGAAGTCAGAATATCAGGTTTTGCTCTACTGGTAGGATAAAACTGGATCCCTTTTTGAAAACATGTAAAATACCGTGCAATTACAAAACCTAGATTTATTTTAATCAAAATACAATACAAAGATGTATTCTATTAACAAAAATCACAAATAAAGATATCCTCTTGTTCGACATTGCTGCAGAACTTCTTTATTTAATTTTTTAACTTTAGGTGTCTCAAAAAGCTTTTTTTTATTGGTTTTTTTTCTGAGTGGTAGTTTTCGTTTCCAACTGTTTTTGTAGGGAGACAAAGCCAGGATAACAGTTCTTTCTCTTTTCATTACATCAGATGTATAGGTACCCGGTTTTACCCCAACACAAAGAAAGTAACAAACACGGCGGTTGTATTGGGTCGGAACATAAGTTCGTAGCGTTTTTTAAGTGAAATTCAAAGACAATGTTTAAATATTTGTACATAGATTTATTCAATCACATATGTGCAACCAAATATCGTAACAATTCACGTATCCAAATGTCTTTAAATATCTAACAACGCTCATATGAGATATGTGGAGTATCTCTGCGATGTCCCGTGTCGTGTGACGTGGATTATTTTCAATTAGCTTTACAATTTGATCATCATCAAAGACTGCAGGCTTGCCAGAACGTTCTCGGTCTTCCAAATCAAAATTGCCACTTCTGAACCGAGCGAACCACTTGCGAAGAGTACTTTCAGCTATGGCATCATTTCCATAAACGGCACATATCTTTTTTGCTGTTTGTACAGCATTTTTTCCTTTCCGGAAATAAAAGGCATTAAATGACGAAAATACACCTTATTTTTCTCCATTTTTACTTTTAACATAAACACACTTAAAATTGACAAATCCATATACAAATCGCATAGAAAGACGCGTTGAAATATCAGCTTTCAGAATATGTATATATTTCATATTTTTCCGCTACATGTGAAATGAACTCATGTGTTCAAATGCCACCTATTAAAAACGCTACGAACTTATGTTCCGACCCAATATTATTTAATTTTATTATGTGTTTTGTTATGTGTCTTTAATTAATGTCTATTTATTATTATAGTTAGTTTTATTATACATATTTCGGTATTATAGTTTATAATATTGGTTTTTATGCAAAAATGAAAATGAACTATCCCTTCAATTTTATATAAAATAAAAAGTTTATATGGGTTATCATATTCCTTATATTGTATATAATTTGTACAGATTAAATTAGATTCATTAATTTAAATAAGCGAAAGGTTTGAATGTATAAGGCCTTACAAAACCAATATTCTATAGAACAGATTATTATTCGCTTATTATTCATTATCACAGTTTTCAATTCATATTTATTCTTTAAGACTACTAAAATAACAATCATATAAAAAAGTGAGTTAATTTGATGGGGATACGATAATCCATAAGTACCAAAAATAATTTTAACTTCATGCCAAAAATAAGAATTTTTCAATAAAAAATGTATTAATATTATATAAATAAAGACTTACACTCATATGTTTTCTTAAATTTGCAGTTGAAGTTCTACTTGCGTGAATAATTTTCCTTCCAACGCAAATTTTGCGTTGCCCAGAAACGCCCAGTTTTTCTCGTTTTGTTGTAATTCGAATATTTCTGCTGTGACGTTGCTGTCTCGCGCGCGTCTGCCGAGTCCCTCTCCGATCGAAAAGCGCGGGCTAAAGGGCCGCGCCAGTCGAATAATTGCGAGAACCGTACCGTTACCTCCAGAGAGGCGTCATTGATCGAGGTTTCGTGCTTAATATTAATTCCGTTTGTTGTTTCTTTTTGTATGATGATTTGAGTTGGGAGCCTCACCGGAAGAAAGAGCGGGAAGTCACATAAACACACTTAAAATTGACAAATCCACATACAAATCGCATAGAAAGACGCGTTGAAATATCAGCTTTCAGAATATGTATATATTTCATATTTTTCCGCTACATGTGAAATGAACTCATGTGTTCAAATGCCACCTATTAAAAACGCTACGAACTTATGTTCCGACCCAATATATTACGGCGTACAAAGTGACGATCAAAACTAGCATAGATATACTCTCTAATATGTACAGAATGCAATGCTACATTTACCGAAACAGATGCTCTGTGCAGAAAAAGTCCACAACGACTCGATTGTTGTCCCGATATCGATCTTTTTTGGCCCAAAAATTTTGAACTTCTCTAAAAAAAAATATCGTGTGCAGATGGGCATAGTTTATCTCAAGATAATCTTGGCATCAATCTACAACTAATAACACGAGTTAGCTAAATATAGTAGTACTTATCACGAAGAAACAGAGGTATCCGGCTTGACCTGCCTATCCGATTTTACCCTACTTTCCTCTATATATTTTTTTAAATTTTGCATAACGATAACAAATACATTAGAACGCCCACTGTATACGTATATATTTTATGTGTATATAATTGTATAAAATCTTTTAGATAAAAAAAGATTTGTTTTAGACTTTTTTAAGACAGACCATCATCAAATAAATGTTTTCTAATATCTTTGCAGATATATCTAACCATATCAGCTCTAATCACATGTCACGTAAATGCAAATTACGAGTACGAGCGTTTGAAGAGTTTGAGCCATTTGATTGAAGTGCCGCAAGTACCTAGCCAGCATAAGACCATTTACGAGAGCGCTTCTTCCGAAATACTGCCTCATTATTATAATTCTTATGAATCGAGTCAAGATCAATATAAAGACCGTTCCGCAAGTCCATCTGAGCGTTTTCCCATTAGCGTAAAGAAAAAATTAGTTGAAAAAAAAAACTTGAAAAAAATGAAAATCCCGTTTTTATTGATCAATAAAGATTATACTGCAAAGTACAAACAGTCGCTTCCGAATTCGGAAATTGCTCACTGTCAAGAGATTAACGTAAAATCGATCGGGAAAGAGGATGAGATACGAAAAGATGTTACGACTTGCTATAAATGCGAGGATCCTAAAACTAGATTCATATACGAACGCTGTTTACATAATAGTCCTCCGGAAGAGAGCGCATCCGCCAATACGAAGACGGAGCGATTTTCGTTTACCTCCGTCATCCCCAGATATCGAAGGTAGCGATAATAATCGCGCGTATAATTTTTTTTACGTAGAACGCATATTAAAACTTGACATTTGCACCCTTTTAATCGTATATACGATATAGGAAATTACAACATTTACAAAAAGAGAGAAAGAACATAATTTAACTTTTTTTTTCAAAAACATATTACTTAAAAAAAAAAGAGAGATAAAAAGCTGCGTTTTAACAAAGATTATCAAAAAAGTGCTGATTTACAATTCCATTATCAAAAGAAGCAATTTTAATTAATTGCTCCAATTGCGTAGTACGTATATAGATAATTATATATAATTAGCTGAGAAAGTATAGTTGATCTTTTAATAGATTTTGATTTATAATCGTAGGTCCAACGTGGAGAATGACAAAATTGGTTACGGAAAGACGAATCCTTATCGGTTCAGCGACGAGTATTTTACCGACGCTACGTACGATGTACCGGCCGCGTACGAAAGCAGGGGAGAGAAATGCGACAAGATTGTGAAAAATTCCATGGTATGCATGATTTGCCAAGATGTTAAGACCAATGGCAAGTACGAGCAATGCTCGTATGTAAAGCAGCCGCGTGAGAAAGAGTACGCCTATATCAAATCTGGTACCTTTGAAAAGCCTGAGCAGCAAAGAAACAATAGCGCTGAACATGCCGATGATCGATCAAATCCTTATCCCGAATCCTCTGAAGAATCCTTTGAAGAATCCAATCTTGAGAAAAAAGATTGGAAGCCCACCGCCATAAAGGAGTTTCGCGAATATTCCTATCCTATCGAGGATCATAACGAGAGAGTTTCAACAACAAACCAGCAAGACAAAGTACAGGATGCATCTTCGACAGCTTGCAAACAGGTGCAAAGAGATTCCAAAACCTGCACCGTATGCAAAGATCCCAAGATTGGCGGTATTTATGAGAAATGCATTTACAACTATCAGCCCAGTGATAAATTATATAAATATACTAAATCAAAAAGCTTTGGATATCCAGATAAGATTTCTACGGATTCTACTCATGATCTAAATAAAACTCGAACTTTGGAAAAAACCAAGAGGTTCGATTACCCGCAAAGTTCCGATTCTACGCACGATTATTTGGGTAAGCCTATCTTACATTAATCCTTAATTATTGAAATGTAATTAATCTGATAGGATAACATGTCAAATTTAAATGTTCCCGCATAAGATTGATTTTTCCGAGAATTGTGATTCGCGAAGACGCGACAAGAGCGTAATCATAGTCTGGTATAAATTTACATTATTCGATTTATCATCTTTTAGCATACCTACAAGTTTTCTACTTCAATACTTTACACGTGTAACTTTTCAAAGAGCATACATAGATTGTGCACGTTATATAGTACATTTTATTTAAATTGATATGATTTCGTTATACAGATAAATCCAAACATTCTATTTATCCATGGAGATCCGAGAGAACTATCGAATCTCAACAAGTCGCTAGTGATCTCGACAGCACATCGCGCGATTCACCCAATTACAGCAGCGATTATTCCAATTCCAAGGGATCGAGTAATTACCAGCCTTTATCTACGGCTAAAGATGATACCGAATCTTACGAAGACCAAGCTACACCATCTTCGAAATCTGTCTCGGAGCATTATTCTGAAAATATCGACGCGGATCATTGTAAAAAGTTTCAGAAAGACTCAATGACATGCACAATCTGCAAGGATCCGAAAACAGGCAACGATTTTGAACAATGTTCGTACTCGTATCAACCCAGCGATAAAGTCTTCTCTTACAGTAAATCCAGCTCATTTGGCAATTCACGGCAGAATGATAAATATCGGCAAGTGCCGCGCGAGAACGAGCAATTATCGGACAGTTCTGAGATTGCAAAAGACTCCTACAACGCCCCAACCAGAGAAGACGGCTACGAAGCTTCAACGACTGATGAGGCAAAGGATAATTCCAAGGACGCCACAGAGGGAAAGAAGGAAAGAGTGGACGTCGGATATTTGGACACAGCGAAGAAGAAGGCGGAGATCGAAGAGTTAATGCAGAATTTCCGGAAAAAAGATCGATCGAAATGTAGGAAGACTATGCGCGATAAAATGACTTGCTATCGGTGCGTCGATGAGGAAGGTATTCAAAAGGAGGAATGCGTGTTTGTCACCGGGCAAGAACCCGATCAGCTGGCATTCCGCGAGATAAAGGAATTTCAAATCGATCCTGCATCGCACGCTCGCGGCCTCGAACGATCAAACTCGATGAAAACGAGAGAACGCGTGATGGATCCTTTAGAGCCTAGTGCGTCCGCTAGTAGAAATTCATATGTCAAATTGGAGAAACCGGACAACGATTATCCCGACGAAACGCAACACACAGCGGAAGAAACTAAAGAGGCTGAACCGTATGATTACACATCGGAAACAAGATCCAGATACGACAAAGTACTCGGATTAACTCTTCCGGCATATATGTTTGCTACTTCGGAGCATGAAGCAGCGTTTGACGAGGTTGTAGCTTCCAGTCACGATCAGCGCTAATTTAGGTACAGCTTTCGGCATTCTTATCGTTACGTATTCAGCTATACTTGTTATCGTCGAGCTGGAAATTCTATTTGCTATGAGCATTTTTATCGTATTATTAAGAACGTTATGAATATTAGAAGGTAATTAAAATCTTTGTGTTTTAGTTTTTAGTTCGTACAGCTTATATTTGAAATCTATACGCATATTCTCTCTCTCTCTCTCTCTCTCTCTCTCACTCTCTCTCTCTTTCTCTCGACGAACATGATTAGAATGATTCGACTGATAGGTATAAATGTTGCATCTCGTTAATGCCATGGAAATCTTTGATGCATATTATAGCTCGCCGACAAAGACATTGCGGAGGCGTTATAGGATCCCTGGTTGATTATTCCGCAATTATTTTTATGCCACATTCAGTAGAATCTATCGTGAACGGTTAATCATCTTAAAACACACGAAATAATTTCATACGAAGCTTGTTGTTTTTCAAGCTCTAGTACCTATAGTACGATATCTATATATTTTTGATTAGATACATGAAGAATATTCGCGTAAGCCGTAATTGCACTCGATGAAAACGCACCAAAATACACAATAAAAAATCATACCAGGCACAGGGAATAATATATGTATACATATACGTATAAAAGTCTCGAAAAACGGCAATCCCAAATTGAATTTTATGCGCTTTACGTTCTTGATAAGAAGGGCTTTGTAGCATCGGCTTTAAAATATATAATGAATATACAAATGTGTGCAAAAAAAAAAAAAAAATACAAATATGACGAATAACATACTTATGCGTAAAATAATTTATGCGTGCGCGCATGTGTGTATGCATGGATAACAACGGCAAGCAAATAACATCTTGCCATTTTGGTCTATTACTTTGCGCATGTATAATAGGAAATATATTGTTTCTCATGTACATGTTCGAATCTTAAAATAAGCACGAGCTATTTTGGGAAGCAGCGGTGCAAATGAAGAAACGTGGAGAATGACGATCGGCGCGGTGACCAGCGCGATGTGGCGATCAAATCGGTAAAGATGTAAGACTGTGGAATCATCGCATCGTCGTTAGCTGCGTGGCTGCGTGATACATACTAGTCTGCAAAGTCACGAGTCAAGTCTGAACGCCGAGCGAATCGAAGCGACGGCGACGGTCTCTGTAGTAGCGGCGGACGTGCGCTAGTGTCGGCATCAGTGCTGCTCGGTCCCCTGTCTTTTAACACACCCATATCGGCCTTCTTCTTCAACTTTTGGGAGTACAGCACCGGTTTCTATCTAGTGGGCTAGTGGGTAAAGGTATAGGAGAACAACAACCAGCTAATTATTTCGGATATGAGTTCTTCGACGTATACCGGGTAAGATTTTATCAATTATCTCGAATCGCGAATCTCATGTGTGTCCCATTAAAACACGCGTTTCCCCGAGAGTGATCTGCCACTTTTATCTATATTCCTCGACTCGTTCGAAATGTGCTCTCAACTTTATATATCTAAAAAGATGATCGTCGAGAGAATCGAGATGCGAGTATTATCTAAAACATTACAACCAAAATAATTTCACGATTACTTAAAAAATTCAAGTTGATCGTCTTAACTCTATAAAGTTGAGTTAAATTATACTCAATTTATATATTTTATTAATATATTATAATATTGAGATATACAATACATATATTGAAATCGAGCGCGATTAGTCTTGAAAGAAAAATATATGCACAAATTGCATATAAAAAATTTGAAACTTTTTATGTACGGTGTATTTTATTGACGATAGAAGAGAGATAAATCGTTCTCTCTCTCTCTCTCTCTCTCTCTCTCTCTATTTCTCGTAGAAGCAGGAGAAGTGGAACTCGTTTTTCGACTATGGTGCGTCAGATCGGGCGTCGCAAGGCCGAATTGGCCTTGCCATCGTGTTCCAAGGAGAACCCCTCGACACATATTTTACCTTCGAAGCGAGCAATACTCGCTCAACGAAGAGATTCAATTTCAGACACAGCTTTCTCGCAAGTCGGCGCATTTTTGTGCCGTCTATTCGAACTATAACGCCTAACGCACAGTTTGGCCAAAAAAATATATATTTCCTTCTCGTACGGAGAAAATCGTATCGGATGCATAGTCTCTCTCGCTCTCTCGCTCTCTCGTAATATATATTACACTATACTAATAATATTGTAGTATTTTTTAGTCACAACGGCTAAAAAGCATTCACGTTTTATTTTGTCTTTCTCTGATCGATTTCGAAAATTCCTTCCTTCTATATGACAATCGTAAGAAATTCGGTTCATTTGTCGCGCATTTACCGCGGCGCGCGTTAGAATTCCTAAAAATAAAATAATTGGAAGCATTTAATACGCGCGCGCGCGAGGCTCCAATGCGCAGGTCAGCCCGTGCTAAAATTACTCTTGCTCGACGTATCTAAATACATTTCTACTCGCTGCGATCCGTTGGCTGGGTTCCCAGCATCACGACATGGTCGCCATCAACATGACTGGATTCGATTCACCATGATCGAGTTTTTTCAAGAAACTTAAAATTATGCTGGCAAATAACGCGTAACATTCGCGATAACGTGATGGGAAAAGAGAAAAAAACATTTGCCACCCAATTGTCTTTTTCAAGAATATCTGCAGACTCTTCATCAAATATATAATTCGAAAAAAATCTTGGAAATGTATCACAGCGCTTTCGAGATTTCACGGATTTTACGATAGCTAAAATAGAAAATTAAAAACGGATACGCGCATGCGCGCGCGCGCGCACACGCACACACCCGCACACATACACATATATATAAACGTAGACGCGATCGCGTTAGTCACTAGTGCCCAATAAGAAAGAGCGAAAGCGGTAGTCGTGGATAATACAGCTTATTTATGCGAAAATAATGTAGAAGAAGCTGGCAAATTTTCCATGAGAACGCATTATCTCTTTCAACCAAATATTTACTGAAATCGAGGGACACGTAATGTAATGCCAAGATCAAAACGCTTGCGTTGTCGCATCCAGATTATTGGACTCTCAAGTCTTTTATTGTTAAAATTTACATTTTTTTCTCATTCCCATTCATTGCATTTTCAGAGAGAAGAATTTTGTCTAATTTTTAGCTTCCTCATAGAGGAAACTTTGTTTTCATGACATTTTTTTTCGATTTTTTTATGCCAATATGTTTCAAAACATCGAAAAATCATATTTTTTTTAAATGTATGTATGTATGGATGTAATATGTATGTATGTACGGAATGTATTGTACAACCTCTAATTTTCGCAATTTTTGAGATATCGGCCTAAATTTTTTAAAATGGATAGAGTATCATTAAAGGATAGTTGGTATTGGATTTGGTGAGGATCGGTGAAAGTATTCATTTTTTATAAAATTTTGAATTTTTTGAGAAATATTTGTACACGCTCTAACTTTTGCAAATTTTTAGATATTGGGTTAAATTTTTTTACATAAATAGTGTATTATTAAAGGTTGGTATTTAATTTGGTAAGGATCGGTGAAAAAGTTCATTTTTTATAATATCTTGAATTTTTTGAAAAATGTCTGTACACGTTGTAACTTTCGCAAATTTTGAGATATCTTCCTCCATGAGGAAGCCAAAATTATAAACCTGCTTGCTTTAAGGAGCTTAAGCTTTGTGAGTGAAATAAAATGATGAGGAAGTAATGTGCAAGTTTCTAATTTGCACAATTTTCATCTTATTTTATATACATTACCGCAATATAACAAATTAATATTAAGCATGTTTTCGGTGATTAACGTCATCATATATATTCTTTTTTGTAAAAGTCAAAGCTACTCTTAAAAAGTAATCTGATTTTACATACAAAACGTATTGCGTTCACGGATTAAAATATTGAAAAATGTATACGTAATTTCAGATTTAAATAAATTAGTCCACATAGATTTTCGACGAAATTGTGTACATTTAATTCGCGATTCTTATTATCACGATTTACGTGGTTGTGAGGTATCCTTCGAATGTATTATGATTCTAGCGGTCAGCGTTGTCTAATCCTTTTTAAGAAAATAGGTCTAATCGTATTATTTTAAAAGGCGTCTTAATCAGCCTATATCGGGCATAATATGTTAGTTTTTGATCAACGAAGAAAATATGAGCGCTTAATTAAATATTTCGCGTGCTCTTAATTTGTAATTGCATTTTTACGATAGTTTTGCATATTACTGAAAGTTTGACTAAGATAAATCTTGCTATTATTCTGCGAATTAATGGATTTGTACATATATGTATACAATGTAATCAAAAATTTGTTATAAATTTACAAACAAACGTTTTATTAATCACGTTTGTTACAATCCAAGCGCTTATAAACGTTAATAATTATTAATGTCACGTTAAATTACATACACACTCTAAATATGTATTTGCGTGTGTGTGTGTGTTTGGGGGGAAGGGGTTGCGTGCATGCATGCGTGCGTGCGAGAGAGAGAGAGAAAGAAAGAATATAAATATAACGTATGTACGCAAAATATGAAAGCGCGCAAGATGTGACTCATGCTCTCTTCAAGTAATTGCATTCCACAGATAAGATAGAAACGCATCGGTTTCATGCCAACTGACATGTAAAAAAAAGATTTTGCTTTCTAAATATATTATACGAAATATATCATGTTTTAAAATTACTTTTTTTTTGAGATTTGAAAAGAGTTATCATTATCTCATCGCGAAATAAAGCGTTCAATTTTTAAGGCAAAAATATTAAAGTTATGTAATCTTTTCTACATATGTACATATATAAAATAAATTTTTGCGTAGATATATTGACTTTGTAGAAAAGCCTTTTACACACATATATTTACATACGTGCGTGTGTTTTTCATAAATTCAATGTATCTATGCGTCCATTATATAATATTATACATCTTTGTATATGTCCAAAATTGCGAAAATAATGCCCCTCTCACTATTTGTTTAATTCGAATTAATAAATTATTTAATATTTATATTTACAGGAATCCGGATGTCATGATTGCAGGTACGCATACAAATTGAACTTTTTTTCTGATATAAAAGATAAATAAATAAATTTTTTTCATCAGAATTAAGTATGCTATACTTATCTATTAAATTAATGGATAATTAACTTTATCCAGTACACAGAATGACAATAAATAATAAAATTATTGATATTAAACATTGATCAAGTTATTGATTCTTTGTATATTAGTATTGTTCGTAATCTCCACATAATTTTTAGGTTCGCCTCCACCACCGCCCCCTCCACCTCCCATGTCTGGTCAACTACCACCTATGAGAATAAATACTACAGAGGTAAGAGGAAGTAAATTGTGTCTAGTCACTGTTTTTTGTCGTGCAATAAAAAACAATGATAGCATTAAAAAAAACCGACGATTGCTTTATTATCAAGCTCCTTTTCATTTAGAGCCTCAAAAAAAGTTGACATACACACAATGTACAATCTATACATAATTTTGGTTTTGCTGTTGGTATAATATAATTTGTGTTTAATGCAATTTAATTATTATTTTGCATATGTCATAGTAATAATTTATTCGGCGATATTTTGAATTTGCAGAATGCGGCAGCAAAGAAAGCGCAGATAGTTAATAACGATGTTTACGAACCACCAGCAGCAATTCAAAATGCGATGTTGACAAAGGATAAGAAACCATTTACCTACACTCCAGGTATGGGTGGTAAATTAGATTTGTCGCAGATTCGTAGCCCGCGGATGGCGAGAAGAGTTGCGAAAAATGCCAACGACGAAGGGATAGAGGGGCCGCCGAAACTTGCCGTCGAGTCGAAACCGTCGTCGCCCATGGCTTCTACCGCGGCGAATTTTTTGGTGCAACCACAGGTCGCGGTACCAGTCTTTCCTTCCAATATGCCAGTTCAGGCACACGTTAACAGGATGTCATCATCTCAGCTCATTAATAGGACGCCGTCGAATGGTAATTATTTCCATGTGAACTGTCTTCTCTTGTATCTGTTAAAACTATTATAATACCACAGAAAGAGAAAGAGAGAGAGAGAGAGAGGGAGAGGGAGGGGAAAAGAAAGAGAGCGCGGGAGAGGGAAGGAGAGAAAGAATGAAGGGAGGGAGAGAGAGAGGGGGTGTAGAGGGACAGAGAGAGGGGGGACTGCATGTAATTGGTGTATATCTCGTATATACTTGCGTATACATGATGTATACACATTGAAACAATCGTAATGTTACTTATCTGGTAAATGTTCTTCTTATAGCCGCGGACAAGCAAGCCGAACCATCGAAGAACATTACAAAGATAGATACGAAAGCAGTACCGATTAATACTCCCGAAAGTCCGAGTACACCGACACAAGTTACTTTGGCCAAGGCACCTACGCCCTGGCTGCAAAATAAGAACAAGCCTCAGGAGGAATTACCCGAATGGGCGAAACGCGCATGTATCAATAAAGCAGTTAGCAGCGGCCCATCGGAAAGCGCACCTTCTTCCCCGATGGTTTATGTTCAAGTTCAGCAATCGCCCCCGCAGTATTCGGAAGCAAAACAAAAGCAAGGGCAAGAACAACATCCGTCTCCGCTGGGTCAACAGCCAAAGTCGCAACAGCCCTCTCCGCAATGTCAACAGCAGCCGCAACAACAGAAGCAGAATGCCGTTTCCGCAATGTCCCAACAAGTTAATCCACAATCGCATCAACACGAGCGTGTTATACCCATTCGAGTAAGTTGTAAAAAGTTTTTTCTTAATATATGCATTTTGCTTAATTCCGCAATTCCAGCGGAATTGCCGCAGTTTTTCTTTTTTTCTATATATATCCGTTTTCTTTTCCTCTTTTCATATTTCCGATATCTATTATCTATTAGATCGAGGATAGACCGTCGGTATTCGATGTAAAACGTGATTCTGGCCATCATCAATTTAAACAACCTCCAACTTTTCATCATCAACAACGATGGGGTCAGATGCCTAGTCAATATACGTTAGAGAATCAGGCGCAAAATCGTCCACAGGATCAAGAACAGTCTCAAATTCGCATTGCAGCTTTGCCCCGTCCGGAACAACCGGTCGAAACAACCTACATCATCCCTCTCGTAGTGAAAGATAACGACAAAAAGACGGCACCGTCTAATGCCGAAAATAATACGACCGAAAAAGCTGCAAAAATGTAAGTTGAAGAATTTGTTAAATTTGATCGACGTTTTAGGATCTCTTTTTAGAGAGATATCTAAAAAAATTTCACAGAAAGCGTGTATTACAAAAAAATTCTAACGCGTTATTTTGTTTATGTGTGGAAATGCTTGCGATCATGTCGCGATCGTCGACGAAAATTGTTGGGACAGTGTGCAACAGCGGAATCCCAACCCGATTCAACAGTACGAGGCAGGTCCAATTCAATCACGATCATTCCGTGTTCTTCAAAAAATTACGGATACGGATGCAGTCAATGATGTGGGTACAGAACAAATACGTAAATTGGAATTGAGTGAAGATGAGAGGCTACTTATGAATAAATTTAAAGAACAAGGTAGAATTTATTACCCCTGTCTATCATTATTTTAATATTCACGTTACGTTAGTATACGATGCTGTACGATGTGTATGTACACATGTGTACTAAATAAGTATATTTTTTGTATATACAGGGTGTCTATAAAGTCTGTCCCCACCCCCTATATTTCGGAAACAGCTTAAAATTATGAAAAACAGCGAAATACATGTTCGATCATTTGGAGGGGCTACCCTTTTAAGGGTTTATAATTTTGAGCAGTTTCCGAAATATAGGGAGTGGAGACAGACTTTGTAAACACTCTGTATATACGTATAATGTTAATTTTATTTTTAATAAGATAATTGATATTTAAATTTTCTTACGTCAATGCTCAAAAACTCTAAAATGCTAGCTAAATTTGTAGACAAACATTGTATTGCTTCTGTCCATAGTCGATCACGAGACTTATCTCCATCAAGAGGAAGATCCAAGATATCGCGGTGCAGCAATACCTTCGCGAGCTTTCCGTTTTTTACAAAATATGACAGATTCGAGTGATGCCACAGTTACTTGCGCAGGTAAGCCAGCTTTATACAAGAAGAAATACTCTTTCATCCAAGAACATTATATTTATTAGTATTATTCTGTTTTAATAATAAATTTTATTAAGCAGTAAAATATACATCGTCAATAAGCAACAAACAAGCAATACCACGCGTGCGCGCGCACACACACACACACAGATTTAAAGAAAAAGAGATTTATATATATATATATATATATATATATAGTATATGATTTTATTAAAGAAGAAAGTGCAATTGTACTTTTCCGATGCATTGTTGCAATTTGTAAAAAAAGATAAGTCAATAGAAAAATAGATATTGTTATGCCATTCAATTTTTGCCTATATCATTTCTTTCTATCTTGAATGGAACAAATGTTAGAACCCATTCCAATTGCGTGATCTACTCTATATATATGTATAATCTCTTTGTTTCTTTAAATCTCAAGTCAAATCTAATGCAAAGAAAGATAAAGAAGATTAAATATAGTAAATGTGAATAATGGATACAATCTTCTTTTGTATGTTTCAGCGTCACGTAATATACAAAACATTGCAAGTAAGAAGCAAAATAGAAATTCGAAATTGTTTGGTAAGTAAGTATGCGATTCGGATTGAAATTTTGCGTTAGCAAGACTCTATTGAAGCGCAACTAAAATATGTATATGTATATCTAAATATTTGTAAATTGGATTCACACACACATCGATTCTTACGTAGAAGAGACACAGGCAAACTTGCCGCCCAGTGAACAACAAGTTCAAGAACCGAAGAAATACATGGGTAGTGCAATTCCTTCTCGATCCTTCAGAATATTACAAGCGATGACAGCACCAGAAGGTAACGGTAAGTATATATCTGCTAGATTTCTCGAAACTAATTTTTCGTATAAAGTTATCTGGCTGACAAAACACTTTTGGAAATATTACGAATACGTCCCTACAAATTTTGCGTTTTTATCTTTATCACTGTAAGATTTTTAAAATTCCAATTTTTTTCTCTATAGAAATATTTTTTTGTCTTTTTTATAACCTTTCTACATAATATTTAATACCCGCGTGTTAAGAATTTGTTTTTGTACAATATACACATATTTATTGTTCATAAATTAATTGTAAAAGCTTATTTATACCTGTGTACATTAATGTTTCGTAATGAGCGCTTTATATTCTAATGAATATTTTGTTGAAGTAACATACTTGGCATCGCTCAAACACACACATATTCCCGAATCCTGTGTTCACAGGATTAACAAAATTTCCTTTGCTGTTACTTTATATATTTATCAGTTCCCCAAAAACGTAATATACAGAGTGTCTGTCCATAAATGTCCGAGCAAATATCTCACAACTGATTGAAGTTACAAAAAAGTTTAGTAAGAAAAATTAGTACAGTTTTCAATCCGCAATAAAGCGCATGTAAATAAATTTTTTTTGCTCGTAACCTTTTCAAGTTATGAAGGTCACTATCGTTTTTTAAATTAAACCCCTTATTTTTTATTGCATATTTTTATAGCCCTTCTTGAGACCTTTTCAAAACACTATAATAAAGTATTTTTTCATTAAGTATTTTTCGAGTTTTTTAAAAGTATTTTTAAGTATTTTTCGAGTCTTTTATATCTTAATCTGACATATTTTGATATAAAATACATATTTTATATCAAAAGTATTAAATTAAGTATTTCTTAAGTTTTTAAGTTTTTTTATATCTTAATCTGACAAAAAGTCTCAAGAAGGGCTATAAGAATATGCAATAAAAAAGAGGGGATTACATTTAAAAAAACGATAGTGACCTTCATAATTTGAAAAGATTACGAGTAATAAAAAATTCTTTATATGCGCTTTATTGCGGACTAAAAACTGTGGTAATTTTTCTTATTAAACTTTTTTGTAACTTCAATCAGTTGTGAGATATTTGCTCGGCCATTTATAGATAGACACTCTGTATATATATATGTGAATAATATATATAT